GCAATCGATTTCCACAGTTCTTCCCGAGTGGTGTATGTACTTAAAGATGTTTCTACATGTAGGAAATGAGCCTTCTAATGAGAATGGCTTACAACCGTTTACAACAAACTAGAGTTCTCAAACGAAGTTTTTCCAACATTCTCAATTCTCGGCTCCAAGTTGCCATCTCACCCTCGCGGTTGAACAGCTCCGCGTCCCAAATGCCACGCCTGGGGTGCCGCAACAGCAGCGACACCAAGTTGGTCATCCCCATGGGGTGCCAAGTTCAGCAAAAAGCTGTGATTTCTTATTCAACACCTAACGATTTGAAGAGAAGATAGGGTAAATCATCCTCAATACTATTTTGCGAATTTCAATAGTGCAGGATTGTATGGACGAATCATGAATCACATCATCAGCCCGAAATGCATCAGTCTACATGGACAACTGTACACACCTCGGAAATGTTGAGGGTTCTCTATGCTTTTGCTAGCAATCTTTGGTGATGCTCTGCCTTTCTCTTCTTTGACAGTATCATTACATATATTGTCCTCAAAGTAGATAAGAACAGAAAAGCTGCCAAGCAATCATTTGTGGTAGTCATCGCTCCTCTGATGGACAAATCACAGGTCTTCGAGTGCACTGGTGCAATCAGCAGGCAAAGGCCAAACAACAACACAAGTGTTGGGAACACATTAACGTCCAACTCTTGGTACCCTCAATTGTTTCGCGATCATATCTTCTACCGGACGACTTGTTCTATCTTGTTCTGCCACGCTGATGCATTGACATGCTGTTTAGCTGAGCAATCCTTCCCCGAAGGGACAACATTGGGCCGTCCCAAAAAGAAGACACGTATTTATACTGGAACTAACATGGAAGTGGATGGCACCCCCTGTTTGTAGAGGAACATGATCTTCCAAGGGACCATTGTCCAGTTCCAGGTTAGTTCCCGCGAGTGTAATTATTTTGTCAGGTTCCCGAATGAAGTCCTCGATCAGGGCTCCCGACAGCATGATCTTCTTGCCAACACCTTCAGCACAGCCAACCATGTCATATGGAGGCAAGTACCTGGAGCTGTGGCCACTTGGCACTTGACGACTTCAAGGTCCCGTGCCAACAGGGCCTTCAGAAGGAACTGGACACTAGTCATCACTAGTCCACCATACAATGACGGTGCTGGAATGTGCTGGATATTTCATTGGACTTGAGGGGCCGCGACGGTGATGGTTTCGCGTAGCGGGTAGTACTCGCTCCCGGAGAATGTCCATGAAGGACCTGATGGTCCGGATTTGGATCGTCTGCACGACACACGTTGCTGACTGAGGGCATAGAGGGGGTCCAGTGGTTTTATCTGCAATAGCAGGTGTGCCGTGTGCCATTGATGCTCCCGCCAATTCAACACAAACAACAACACCTTCAGGACATTCAACACCACGCCATTCTGGCGATCTGTTTTGCCCGCCAAACGAAGCCGAAGCCGTCTGAGACCAGTCACCCAACCCGCGTTGAGGCGCGCCGGTTGTAGCGACCGGTGGAACCTATACCTATCCCTCATGGGTTGGGCGCCCCGTTGGCCGCCAGAGGTCCTCCGATCTCCTCGGGTCATCTTGTCACATCGGTGCATTGTTCGCATCAAAAGAACTACGACGGTCCATGTGGATGGATGGACACATATTGATATGGTTGATAGTTGATATGGTTGACATGGTTGACAGCCACATGGCAGTGTCAGCAGTGTCCTCAAATAGTCCGGAAGCGGTCAAGAAACCTGTGACCATCCACTTGTGCTGGAAGAAGGGTTGTGGCTAAGGGTACTTAAGTTGATTCAGCCCAGGGATAGGACACTCGAAGCCTTGAGATACTTGTTTGGACTTGCCCAGATGGTTTTGGGTATTTGAGGGGTGGAATTAAACCCACCCTAGTATTATCCAGTCTAAAGCAATGGTCTAGCAGTGCCCCATTCGTCGAGGTTGTGGTCTTCAAACATCGATTCATCCAACTCGTTCTCGACGTGCGACGCGTGCACCCATTCCAAGATGAACCCTGAAGAGGACGCAAAATCAAGGCACTCTGTACAATCGCACTTCAAGGCGAAGTTGTTCGATTCTCCCCCATCCGGTCGATGAACAACCATGAAACCCTGCATCTCATTCTGAACTCGTCAACAAAACGGTGGCACCCACACAGTACACTAGTAGTTGGCGAAAGCAAGTTGTACTTACTATCGATATTGTAATTCCGTGCCGCAACATGTGATGGCGACCGCTCTTTCTTGGAAAATCACAAGCCAGCTACCAATCAGATTCCGCATGTTGGCCATAGGTTCCCATATATTGGTTTGATCCAGTTCATGTCAATCAAATTGAATCCCACGAATAACACAGTTGTTTTTCAAACAAACCAACCAGCTCACAGAATCCACTTATGGCTTTTATGATTCACCTGTCGCCTTTTTGCAAAAGGAACCGTTTTGTGGGAGAACAGGATCAGTGGCCTGTACATTGACATGCGTGAATTGGGGTCACGCCATTTCATTGACATGGCGGATTTCCACTGGCGAGTCGGCCAAGGACGAAAACGGAAGACTGAACAATGAAGCGGATGAAGATCCAAGAGTCCTGCATAGTCCTGCTCTCCCTGGGCTGCTGGTATCTGTTGGTCACTTGATTGGTACGACAGCTAGACACAGGTGCCATCAAATGCTAATTTTCCGTAGCTGCGATGTTCAGCTCATGATAAATCAAATTATTGGTTGTTGACAGCGCCGGCAACCCGGCCTGCTATTTCGCGACCAGCCGGCCGGCCAAGTAGTAGTAGTAGTAGTAGTCGTCGTCGTCGTCGTCGTCGTGGTGGTGGTGGTGGTGGTAGTACTAGTAGTAGTACTACTACTACTAGTAGTAGTAGTAGTAGCAGGAGGAGTAGTAGTAGTAGTAGTAGTGGTAGTAGTAGTACTAGTATACTAGTACTAGTACTAGTACTAGACTAGTAGTAGTACTAGACTAGTAGTAGTACTAGTAGTAGTAGTAGTAGTAGTAGTAGTCGTAGTAGTAGTAGTAGTAGTCGTGGTGGTAGTAGTAGTAGTAGCGATTTCTTCCGCGGCCGGCCGGCCGGCTGGCACCTTGATTGGCCGGCCGGCCGGCTGGCACCTGGCGCGGCCGGCCGGCCGGCTGGCCATAGCGGCCGGCCGGCCATGTACTAGTAGTAGGAGTAGTAGTAGTAGTAGTAGTAGTAG